TGAGTGAGTGTACGTGTTGTATATATAGCTTTACATCAATCAATCAGTTACAAAATAGACTTATCTCAAATGACAAATTTACAAAATAAAATACATGTGATAATAGTGGAAAATAAGATTAATCCAAAGAGTTTATCTGTTGAAGAGTTGCAGAAGAATGCAAACTGTTCCTCAGCGTATTCCAACTGTTTGGCAGCAGAGTTGGGCGGGAATGATTTTCATAAGTCTTTTGCATCTCAAGATTCCCTCCTCTTTTACATGAAATAGCCAAATACAAGGTGCCAGGAACTTAAAGTGGGAATATGAAGTCAATAACCGGTCGTGTTATAGTATTTGTTAATTTTAACATGTAAAATTCAGGTCGGGTTATATTTTTTATTCATTTTAATGAGTTTGATACAACAGAATCCGTTAAAATATATGATATGTCATTAAAACGACACAAACACAGTAAACACAACACGATTACCATGCCTAAAGTAAGTTTGAATGCTCTTTACTTTTTATTAAATACTTAAATCTTAATTGTGACGGTAACCTAACACTTAAGCAAGGCCTAGCCTACTCTAAATCTTAATTGTGACGGTAACCTAACACTTAAGCAAGGCCTAGCCTACTCTAAACAGGAACTGTTAGAACACGAGTGCAACAAAATTTGAGACAAATTGTTTGATTGCCCAATTGAGGGAAAAGCCAAGCAATTTTCTCCACGATGGGACAAGAGCATCAAATTAACATCAGACAAAATATTGGCTGATACTGTTAGACGCTCGTTTGGTTTCACACTTATCACATCACATTTCTAGCCCACTTAGGCTTCTCATTTCTTCATAAAAACCCATCAGTAGCCATGCTTTATCTGATCATCAAAACACCATAAAAAAAAAAAAAAGTCTAGCCTACTTAGGTTCCTTGTGTCATCATTATCTAAGACCTTGATTTTCCTTTATCCTATTATTCCATGTGGCTCTGCATGCAAATCCATTCAAATATGGAACTATGCAACTGACTAGATATCAAGCTGCACAGCAAGCCTTCCATGACTCATTCCACTGCCGTATTAATTGTGAGGGGTTAGCAAGCAGCCAGCTGTGCAATCTCCTTTAATTTCTTCACAACCGGATAAATTTTCTGCAACAAAATCTCACACGTATCTCTGTAAGCTTTAAGGACATCTTCAAGTTAATTACTACGATTAAAATCAATAGTAATGCCAACAAAATTATCTTAACGGCTTTGATACCACGGGCCGATGGTGTAATTTTAGGTCCAAACATATGTGTACTGGTTGTCCTAAAGGTTCTATTATTTAAGCTTTCTTTTTCTTTAAAAAACAAAAAACCTTCTTGGTATGAAGGAATTTTCCATGGCTGCGTTGGATAATTATTCAACAGAGTTAGGTCCTCTTCCGCCGACAGGTTAGTGAGAAGACTGAAGAGGCAGGGAAAAGAACAAGAAGGCAACCCTGGCACCGAAATCTAAGTGGACAGTCGTGGGCAGTTGTGAAAGGGTGATAAAAAATAAACCAAGTAAATTTGGAATCACTAAAACTACGTGGCAGATTGAGGGCCATCAGATGAATTTCAATGGCTAGGATTAAAAGCCTTGTATAATGTTGTGGGGAAAAAAACACTGCGATTAAAAGCCCTGTTGCGATTAAAACCCATGGGCTATAGGCAACTCAATCCCCTTAGTGAAGAGTAATTGTCCAAGTGCATCTTAAAAAATATATTTTTATTTATAATTTTGGATAATAATAAAAAAATTAGTTGAAAGTAATTGAAAACATTGAAATGTGTTGTAAGGTGCAAGAACTATTGTTTGCATAATTTTTTTTGTATTTTTAATTAATTTTTGTTTTAGTTTTTTAATAATGGTTGACATCACTGTGACTTCAGCATTGCACCGTTTGGCTTGAGGGCTGGGCTAGTTGATAATCGACTGGGTGAGCAACTGGGCTCACCAACGTTGGAGTTGCTATTTAAGGTGGGGAGTCGGGAGTGGTCTAAGCTTCATAATGGATTAGCAATAATGTGTTCAAATTCGCCTTTGGTGAGAATCTATCATAAAACCTCTTACTTACAAGTGAAAATAAATAGCATTAGACTGTAGTACTAAGTAGTAAGCTTTGTGTAGTTTTGAGGAAAAAAACATGCGAAGAATCCAAATTCATAAAATAATTAGGTTTGTGGGTCCCACACACGTGTCATGCATATGTCACACGCCAACATTAGTTAGGTGCATTTTTGCTCACCACTTTTAAGTGGTTGTAATACTTACTACTTACTTATTATCATTGGATGAGTTAAAATTTTGAAATTTATATCTATCTCTTATATATACTCAAGATTTAAATTCATCTAACAATAATAAAAAAGATGCACGTAACCGTCATTTAAGGGTGGCCTAAAAATATTCCCATGAGCTAGCTAGTAGCTACTCCAACCCTTTTTTTGGTCCAAAAGGAGAATGTATTAAAAAGGGCAGAACCCTGTCCAGAACGACAAAGGAGGCAAAACCCAGGAAAAGGCTATAACCCAAGCAAGAAAAAAGACCAAACAGTTGTTAAAAAGGGTTAGTGGTCAAATCCTAGACATCCCACTAACCCAGAAAAACACAAAAAGACAGCTAGCTACTCCAACGTGATCGACTTCTTTACTTGATTTTCCAGTTGGTGGGTTACCTTGAATCTTACAATAATTAACAAATAATCCAACGTTTTTGACGTTGACGGGCTACCTTGAATCTTTCAATAATTAACAAATAAACCCACGTGCTTTCATAATGCATCTATTGGTTCCGAAAAGTAATAAAACTGAAAGTTGAGAGTTGAATAATGTGTTTACGTAAAAAATATTACTTTAAATATAGAATAACGAGATTCAATAATTATGTGTTACCCATTGTAAGGATTTGAATTTTCGCCCTTTCAGTCTTCTCCCCTCCTTTTATTCTGAGCTGTTCAAAGCATTTTCAAGTTAAATTAAAATTCAAGATTATGCCAAAACTGACCATAAAAAAGAAACCACTAATAAGAAGAGAAAAACAAACAGAAAAGGAATTAAAAATTGGGCCAATAATTGGGTTTCAGGCCCACATGGAAGAAGATAAGAATAACGAGATTCAATAATTATGTGTTACCTATTGTAAGGATTTGAATTTTCTCCCCTTCAGTCTTCTCCCCTCCTTTATTCTGAGCCATTCAAAGCATCTTCAAGTTAATTTAAAATTCAAGATTATGCCAAAACTGACCATAAAAAAGAAACCACTAATAAGAAGAGAAAAACAAACAGAAAAGGAATTAAAAATTGGGCCACTAATTGGGTTTGAGGCCCACATGGAATAAGATACGAAAAGTTTCTTGTTTCGGCTTGCAAGTTGGTTTCCCAGAGCGATTCCGACCAGTCCACTCCATTGATTGTTGTCCAATTTTCTACATGTTTGTTTGTTGATATAGTAGATAAGAAAAGTTTCTTGTTTCGGCTTGCAAGTTGGTTTCCCAGAGCGATTCCGACCAGTCCACTCCATTGATTGTTGCCCAATTTTCTACATGTTTGTTTGTTGATATAGTTCGAATCAGTCTTACTCTTCTATGATCTTTATTTTAAGGACAACCAATGCATATTATCTACAATATTATATTAGTTTAAATCTAAAGATTTAAAATATTTAACAACTTAATAAACCAAATCCAACTTAAAATCTATGAACCATTAGAAAACTCATTTTCTTGTTTGGGTTTATTAAATTGTCAAATATTTTAAGCATTTGAATCTAAACTAATATAATCTTTTAATTAACATACATTTGGTTCTTATGGGTCCTCAAAATGAGTACCTTAGGAAAGCATGACTCTAGTTGGAATATAGAAATCTCGTCCGTTTAGTGACAGGGCACATACTTCATCATCTGCCTGCCTGAAACTACCTACCATTTGCCATCCCAAGCTACATTCATCTGCCATATATCTGGAATTTGCTTGAGATGGGTTGGGCCTCTTCATTTAGAGTTCAGGACTGAAATAATGAGAGGCCAAACCCATTATTTCAATCTCAAATATGTCTCTTGAGATGGGTTGGGCCTCTCATTATTCCACTGGTTACGAATTTGGGTTTTTTATTGTAAAATAAATTTGTATAATTTCTTTAAGACATACTTCAACCCTTGGGGTAATACTTAAATTTTAGGTTTTAAACTTATCCTAATTTGCTCCAACCCTTGGGGCAAATATGCATTAAACTCAAAACTCATTTATGGGTCAAATTTAGCCCAGGATTTATCCTGGGTTAGTGGGGCTGATCCACAATATATATATATATATATATATATATATATATATATATATTTATAAATTCATTGAATCCAACGGTGCAGATCTAATTTGATCAAATTCAATGGTAAAAAATATATATATATATATATATATAATAGTCTAAATTTAAATCCAACGGCTACAGAAATTAAAAAAAATTATTTATGTGTTTCTTATACTTTCGTAATGTTCCACGAGTTTCATGGTGTCAGTTTAGTGATTTTTCAATATTTATTGGAATATAAATATTTTTAGGTTAAAATATTCATAAAATTAAATTTGGATAGTCCACATAATTTTTTTTAAGCGTTACTTTAGAAAAAAAATTATCCTCATCTTGGGTTAAAATTTTAACCCAAAAGGGTTGGAGAAGAAAAATTGTTTATGGGTTAAAAGTTTTAGGTTTTAACCCAAAGATTGGAGATGATCTGATAAATGTGAATCTCAAATGTGTTGGTGGATCCTATCCACTAAACTATTTTTTTTAATACATCGATATTTTTACACTAAGAGGATGTAGAGTTCGGTTAAGCCACACAATGGACAACCTAATTTGGTATCAAATTCGCCATTCAAGAGCTTCGAATCTAAAACCTCTCACTTTTAAGTAAAATGTATATTATAAAATGACTTACGTCATATAAAAAGACAAACTTGAATTTTATTAAATAGAATGGCAATGCAGCTAGCAGCTTCAGCTTCTGCCACTCAACCCAAATGCTATCCCTCTGCCTGCCAGTCTCTCTCCACCGAGTAAACTGAAAACCTCGTCGTAGCTATTTATTAGGTAATCTTTATTACTCATCATCAAGGTCATTGAGTCCATATACATTTAAGTTATTATGGATCCAGATATGGAGAACCAGGCAGTAACAGACAGGTTCGTACTCTCTCTCTCTCTCTCTCTCTCTCTCAGTATTTCGAATTATCTTAGCTTGCTGTTATTTGTCACTCTCAAGGTATAGCAGCGCACCATGGCGCAGCGGTGGGAATGATAAAGCGTTGGAAATCCACGGAGAGTCCCAAAATGTGTACGAAATTTATGTTATTTGAAACGCTACACTTGATTATATATGGCTATTACAACACCTTCTATTCCTTTATTTTTAAATTTTAAAACGCCGAATACAACATAGTGGCGCCGGCAGCGAGGCTACGGAACTCATCTAATCGGATGAGAGGCAGTAGCTGGCATCGGAGTTGCATATGGTAGCCAATTTGATTCACTATTCAGACTTCAAAGACGTGAGGAGTTGACTTCAGTGAAAACTTTTAACAAAGACAAACTTCTTTCTACAAACACAGACACAGTGACCCGTTCATAACCATTCCTCCAAGGAAACGTTGCGTCACATTCAACATAGACAAACTCACCCTTATACTAATTTATGGGATTGGCTACAAATATACACAAAATCATATATAATATTACTTTGGAGTGAGGTCCCTCCTGCATTTCTTCAGGATGCCCTCCTTCAAGTTAGCTTTACTTGATTTGAAGTTCTAATGAAATCGTTTCCTTTCAGAAAAGAAATATATATACATATATGACCTAATTGTTGATTTATGCGAACTTGTGTAGCGCCAATTTCTCCATTGAGTTTTAATATTAGCCGATTATCTCTTGAACTTTTATAAATAGTCAATTTTCCTTTGGTGTTAGATCTTGAAATTTTCATCTAATTTTTCAAGGGAAAACTTGATATAAGTCCAATTTTTTTAGCCAATAGTAAGAATAGTCCAATTTATTAAAATAAGTCCAATTCCTTAAATTTAATTATTTTATTATCAATAATTATCTATTCAATGATAAGATTTATTATAAAAATCAAATTTCTTCTTAATTATCTCTTTGATTATTTCTTTTTATTTTTATTTTTTGTTATTTCTTGTTCTTCCTCCTGCTTTAAACCCCATTTATAGATTTTATTTTTAATTTTTATAATCAACCTATATCACAGGTTAATTATTTTTATGTATCTATATGACAAATTCTTTTTTATAATCAACGTGTCACAGATTCATGTGTCTTGCTTGTAGGTATGTTATGTTTTTTTCCTACCTTTTAGTTAGATTTCCTATCTCACTTATAGGTATAATATATATATATATATATATATATTCATGTATTTGTTACTTGAGTTAAGGTACAATGTTTTGTAGATAATTTATGTTAGTATATTAGTTTTTTTTTTGTTGTAAGATATTAATTAGATTTTTTGGAGTTGAAAAATGCATAATATTAGAAGATTTTAATTGATTTTTAATATTTTAAAAAATATAAAATGAGTATAAAAGAAATAAAAACATGTAATTAGATAATTGGACTCACTCCTAAAAATCATCTATGTTTTTGAACCTAGATCTAAAAGCCCCATTTTTCAATTAGTCACGCAGATAACCTATGCCAACTATATAAGGGCAAAAACGTATTCTTGTTTTGTTAAATTGGGTGCAAAGCCAATACTTTGTAACTCCTAATTAAACTTCCATGAATAATTCAAACATAAAGTGTACGGAGTCAACTAGTGGAAGAGAAGAAGAAGAAGAAGAAGAAGAAGAAGAAAATAATAATATGTTGTCCACATGAAGGATAAAATTACTTTATAACCCTCAAACATTTGCCATATGACCAAAATAGATAGAAAATTACATGAAAATTCCAATAATTAACATCCTAGGGTAGGGAAAAATTGGCTAGAATTAAAGTTTAGGAGAAAATTGGAAGCTCAACACAAATTCGGGACGGAAAATTGACAAATAGCAATATGTAGATTTATCATCCAGAATATCAAAGTGAGATTTGGCCTTTTAAAAAAAAAAAAAAAAAAAAAGAGAGGTAGTTTTTGTATTTTGTTGTGTACAGTGAAAATTTCTAAAATATTTTGGTAGTAGTCTGATTTCATTTAGACTTCTTGTGGTGGTTTACACTGTTCACATGAATTATATTTGATCATTAGATAGTAATTCTATTAAATATATACTAACATTTTCCTACACACTTTGTGTGTATGAATACATTTTTTTTTAGAAAATGAGAAGGGGGGGGGGGGCGGGGGAGTGGGAGATTTTTGTTTTTGGTTTTTTATTTTTTTATTTTAAATATTGAAGGTATTTTAACATCATCTGACCTGTAGGTGAGGTTTCAATAAAAAAAAGTAATATTTGAACATGTGAAAGTATATTATTATCCATCATTTTTTTTTTGTGTGTGATAGAAGATTAAGTAGTATTTTCACCTTCTTTTGATTGACAAAGAGGGTTTTATTAATTAATAGAGATTAATAGAGATAAGTATTGTAGTCAATCTTAGAAAATTATTATTATTCATTATTATGCTACGTTATGGACGGATACTTGTTTTAGCGAAGAAGTCTGAAATACATCTAATAGCTGCTATTAGAATCGGATTTATATCTCATTTTATCTTGTTTAATTTATTAGCTCGAGGGCCTCATTATTAGGATTTAGGGTGAATGCATATGAATTTCATTCATTGTTTGTTGCGTGTTTCCCAGGATAACAAAAATAAAGAAGATTTTTGATGTGCGTCAGGATCAGGGGACTCACCTTAGAATGTGGAACAGTATATTTGTGATCTCCTGTGCATTTGCTGTCTCTCTGGATCCTTTGTTCTTTTATGTTGTGAATTTCAAAGAGGATGAAAAGTGCCTTCATACGGACGAAACGTTGGAAATTGTTGCTCTTGTTTTGCGATCACTCACGGATGTCATTTTCCTCGTGCATTTGATATGTGAAATTTTAGCCCTCAAAATGAATATCTCGAAAAATGAACAGTCCGAGGCAGTGAAACAAACTGGGGGAAATTCCGGTAAGAAATGGAAAGCCAGAGGGTTGATTCAATATGCCAGAGAGTTGATTCAATATGCCATTGCCAGGAAAATAATTCAGAATATGTTATCCATCATAATTGACGTTTTAGTTCTTATTCCCCTCCCACAAGTAAGAGAAATTAACTAAACTCTAATTTTTTTTTTTTGGTAGCTAGCTGAAATTGATGGTTCTATGTCCTAACCCTTGTTTATGTTTTCATTTTCTTCAGCTGATAATACTAATGTTTTACCCAAGGGAAGGCTCAGGATTTGTGGAACACAAAACGTTTGTGAATGTGTTTCTTCTCGGTCAATATGTTCCGAGGGTTCTTCGAATTCACTTGTCGGCCAAGGCATTCAAAAGGATGAATGGGAGATGGGCTAAGGGTCTTTTCAACTTGTTTCTCTACGTTCTTGCCGGACACGTAAGTTTCAACTCAATTGTCATTATATTTTATTACTTTGTTAATTACTAATGTTGGATTATGGACCAATGCCGTTGTTTTCGAAAATGATAGTGTAGAAACATGACTCTTTAACTTAATCATGTAGAACGTTTATAATATACAGGGTTTGAGAAGACTCATATGTGGTAGGATTTCTAAATTAATTACAATTGATATTACGTTGCCTTAATTAAGGAGAAGATTCTAGACTAATTAATTCTATCCTAACACCACCTCCATGCCATTTAGTACTACGGTTTAGTGGTATTCCTTCTCACTTGTAAGTGAGAGGTCATAGGTTCGATTCTTTCCAAAGACGAATTTGAACCACATTGTGAGGCTTAGCCCACTCTCCCACTTCTCTTTGTGTAAATATTATCGTTTGTTCAAAGAAAAAACACAACCACCACCACCACCACTCACCACCCCCTACAATTGGACAATCCTGATTGGACGAGAATGAAACAAAGTACACCATGATGCGGTTGATGAAGAGCTTTAGTAAGAAGATCAGCAGAAGAGGTGTAACAAACGGGATGACCATAAAGAGCCACATTTCTACGACCAAAATGATAAAAAGGTCAATGCAGCTAGTACGAGCATGGTGAACTGAATTAGTAACAAGATAGGTGGCACTGAGGTTGTCACAATGAAGTAGAATTGGAAAGGATAGCCAAACACCAAACTCGCGAAGAAGAAAATAAAGCCACGTAGTATAATTAGCACATTGATGAGCAAGGGACCTATATTTAAGTTTAAAGATAGATTAAGACATTGTCGGTTGCTTTTTATAGCACCAAAAGATGAGATTGGTGCCAAGATAAATGCGGTAGCCTGTGGTGGAGTGGCGAGTTTCTAGACAACTCGCTCAATTTATGTTAGAACAAGCAAATCAGAAGCAAGTTAAGGAGTCAAAGTGATGTCAAATCCATAGTACCTTTGATATAGCAGAGAATCAGTTTGTCTGCAATCATATGAGAAATGCGAGGGGAACTCGTGAATTGAGCAACATGATTGACAACAAAAGATATATCAAGGCAAGTTCAAGTAAGATACTCTAAGGAGTCAACTAACTCGCGATTAAGGTCGTTTGTGAAAATTTGAAGGTCTTGTGCGAAAATTTAAATGGGCCCTCCTTAATCTTTTAAGAAAATACTAAACTATGTTTGAAAAAAATACTAATTTTTTGTTTTAGACATTAATCTTTTTTAACCTTTCAAACATACCTATGTTTAATCTTGTCTGTGTTTTCGTTTGATTTATTCAATTCGATAGCTAAAAATAAAACTGGTGTGTAAGAAGCTAACAATGACTTATTGAATAAGAAACCATGTTTTATTGCGAAGTTAAGCATTATTTCTTCATTCATGGCCTAACGCCATTCAGGATGCTTAGAAGCTTGAGAATTACTAGAATCAATAGACGCTAAAAGAGCATGAGAAAGAGGATACCGAACAGTGATATCAATTCGAGTTTTTTGTGTTTGGAGATGCCGTCACGTAGCCGAGTGACCATGGGACGAGTGGACTGAACAACGGAGGTAGTCAGCGCAAAGCAGGCGACGGAAGGGGGCAGCAAGAGACGCTGAGACATTGTTGGTGCTGGTGGCAGACACGGCAGCATAAGAGAAAACACGCGTTTGTGTCGTGGGGCCTTAATGTTATGGACGTGGGTTGCTGAGGCGGATGAAATGTGGTTTGAGCGCTGGGCTTGGCATTGAAGTGAGCGCATTGGAAACCGGCCCGGGGCGAGCTGGTGCGAAAGCTAGCGTATTGATGATGACGGCTGGCGCGCTGGGCTGTTTGGGAAAGTTGGGGGCTGAACAGTGGCGGTGGGACTGGGAATTAGGAGAGGGGTCAGACACTGGTTGGTCAGTAGGTAGAAATGGGCCAGGCGTGACACATGGACTGGACCGCACAAGAGAAGTAGTGGGAGGTTGCAAGACTGGATCTGGCAGAAGTTGGGCCCTCGGTGGAGGTTTGTAACTGCAAATTAGGTGTGGAGAGAGGTAGGAAGAAGATTAATGAGGTGGACGGTTGTGAAGGCATATTTAGCCCATAATTCACAAGGGAGCCCTGCAGTGTAGAGTAAGGCTCGTATTAAGGTGGCTATATGGCAATGCTTTCATTTGGCAAGCCATTTTTTTGTGAGTGGGGGCAAAAGTAGCGTTATCCAATACCCAACTCATGACAAAAAGTAGAAAAACATTGATTAACATACTTCGTACCTTTATCACTTTGGAGAACTTGAATAGTAGCTTGAAAGATATTACAAACCATAGCCACAAAGATTTTAAAGATATCAAAAATTTCCAATTTTCGTTTCAGATAGATCCAGGAGTAGCAAAAAAATGATCGTTGAATAAAATATAATGAAAAAAACTATAACATAAGCAACAAGAGACATCACACATTAGAATGAACGATATAAAACAAAGAGAAAGCACGATTATTAGTATTAGAATAAATAGAAAATTACCTTGATTTGCTAAGAGCGCATCCCATACAAAAAATTTATTGATTTGATATCAAAACCTAAGCGAGACATGACAGGCGACGAAGGACGACCAAGTCATTGGTGCTAAGTGGATGATGAAATAGCGGTAAAGGCATGGTGGACATCGGAGACAGTAAACGACAGGGACAAAGGACAAACCCATCCTTACACCTTGAAAAAGCAAGAAATCAGTACCTAAGTCATAGATTTGAAATAATGTTGGAAGAATTCAGGCAAGAAGGAAGTTCAGACATGACAGGTGGAAGACGCCATTTAGGTATCGTTTGGTATGTAGACGGGACGGGACGGGACGGGACAGGACAGAACGGAACGGAGCGGGAGCAAAGATGCCCTCGGATGGAAACAAGGAGGAAGAAGAAGGAGACGGAGAGGTTATAATTTTGTGTTCCACGGATGTGGAACGAGTCGTTCCAAGGGGGTGAGGTGGAACGAAAATTCACCCAAAACTCGTCCCGTGGAACAGCTCGTTCCACCCGTTTTAGGCGCACCAAATGTGGGACGGAACACCTTGTCCCACTCTGTTCCGTCCCGTCCCACGTACCAAACGGTACCTTAAGGAAAGGAGAAGAATCAAGACAAAAACCCTAGAAACTATGGGAGTGAGACTGCAATAAGGGAGTAAAGGCTGCTGTGATTTGTTTTTTATTTTTATTTTTTATTGTTGGTGTGAGAAAGTCCTACAAGAAGAGAACGACCGTAAGTTTTTTTTTTATTGCCTGCAAAAAAGATGATATGGTTGGATTGCTAGACTCTGGTGGAGGAATGATACTAGGTAGAAATATAACTTCTTGATTAATTATGTATAATGTTTACAATAAATATAGGCTTTGAGAAAACCCATATGTGGTAGAAGTTCTAAATCAATTAATTACCATTGATATTACATTCGTTAATTACGAGAAAATTCTAGATTAATTAATTATATGCTAACAGGTAGACTAATATCTAGAGTTTTTTGTTTGCACGTTATGGGTTTAGGTACTCGGAGCTTTTTGGTACTTTTTTTCTATTCAACGAGCGGTATCATGTTGGTATGAGGCTTGTAAACAATGTATTGGTAATTGCGAGGACACTTTGTACTGCGATAGTGCGCAAACTACCAGACCTCTAAACCAGACTTGCTTGGTTACTGTGAATTCTACTGCAATAAATATGACCGAATATCTAAAGTATAGTTGCCCGTTGGATACTCCAGATGGTGCTTCACCTCGATTTAACTTTGGAATATTTCTCGATTCCCTTAAAAATGAAAACCCAGATCAAGAGTTCGGAAAGCAGTTTGTATACTCCTTTTGGTGGGGCTTGCGAAATCTAAGGTACATTATATATCCATTGGCAACCAACAATTTTCAGAAAAATATGTAACGAATAAAATTTTTGGGATTATCTAATTCGGCAACATTGTCTAATATTTTGCAGTAATTTTGGGACAAATCTGGTCACAAGTACGTATGTGTTGGAAAACTTGTTTGCGATTCTCATTTCAGTCATTGGCTTGCTACTGTTTGTATATCTCATTGGAAACGTGGAGGTTGGTATATTAAGTCTCTCTGTACATTAACTTTCGACAATTTTTCTGTGTTTGGGAGTTGGGACTGCGGAGATCATTCTTCGAGTATATTAAGTAATTGTTTGATTTGTGGCGAGACAGGCTTTTATACTGATGGGAGCTACAAAAACAGTGGACATGAGACGACAAAGTAAAAAAAAACAGGAAGCTGAAAAAGCACTTAAGAAAGTATGTTCCTCAACCTCTATCTCTCACCATTAATTTATGGAATACATTGTTTTAAAACAAAATGATGTTAACATTCGATGTTTGAATTACAATAATGATAAGATTGCACTATAATCTTAAAGTTTATAGTCCATAGTTATACAATAATGCTAAGTTAGTTAACAACACAGAATCACATTGTTATTACTAAAACTAGGTTAATGTTACATTCATTACAAAATTACTGTTCAAATTAAAGAGTACAGTAGATTAACCTGTGTATGTATACTACAGATACCAATGCTTAAAGACATGGATGAAAAAGTGTGGAAGAAGATGTGCGAATATCTAAAGCCAGCGACGTACATTGAGAACAGCTTCGTTTTTCGAACAGGAGATCCACTCGATTGCATGTTGTTCGTTATCAAAGGGACATTGTGGACCTACGCGTCGAGTGATAGTCATGTTGGGCAAGGAATCTCATCAATGGCCATCAAGCTCCTCAGGGAAGGTGACTTTTACGGGGAAGAGCTTCTCGATTGGGCATCAGACTGTTTCACCGAAGTTCCAGTCTCCAGCAAACATGTCAAAAGTCGGACAAAAGTAGAAGCATTTGTGCTCATGGCCGAGGACTTGGCAACTGTAGTCTCTCTACTCAGACCACATAATCGTAACAATCCTGAAGAGGTGGAGAAGGTGACACTTTCTGCTGTTCTTCGTTTCCATACCAAGGCGCAACGACGTCCGCCTCCGTCCCTGGCTTAAATAGGGGATGACAATAGTAAGACCTTGCCATCTGCAGCAAGTAATTAGTATCTTCAGAAACGTCGAAGTATAGACGCTTTATGGCCAAGAGTTCCATACACAACCTAGCTGCGTAGATTTTGTATAAGCTCTGGCCTCAAAATAATATTATTACTGGTTGAGAATTAGCCGTACGTTTCAATAATTAAGCAGTGGTAGCCACAATACCATTTCTCTCAAAGATATGTTTATGTTGGTCATGGTCTGAAACATTTGCAGTTATGAGGTTTAAGTTATTAGGCATGGAAAGCTCTAAACCTTATATATCGTGCTTGATGTTCTGTATGGTAATTCACTATTTCAAGGCAGTTTTTGAGTTTTTAATGGCCTAGGGCGATAAACAAATGGGGTTATTTCCTACACATTATTTTCACAAGAAAATAAAATGTACAAATTTTTATCCCTTCTCTGTGCTTAAAACATATTAATTTGGCCACAATAAATATATAAGAATCTTCTTCTAGTATTTCTAGTGTCAAAATCATGAGGCACATATTTTTAAAATCAA